GACATTACTACTGACGGGAATGGGCCAAATTCTTAAGAGTAGATGGAATAGAAAAACAAATTGTGAATGACTGGCACAGTTCATACACTCCTAGAAGATAAAGAAGTAAGCAGAAGGACACAGCATGAGCTCAGTAATAAAAAGTCAGACCAAACTTCTCACTTCCTTTTCTCAGTGTATTAAAAGACTGCCAGATCAGGGCAGGCGGGCAAGTGAAAACAAGGATTTTGTTCTGTGGGGTATAGGAGAGGGAGCTGTTTAGAAATAGGTGGAAGATTATTGAGTAATATTAAGGGTCCAACTGATGTTGAAAGTCAGGCATGGCAGGAATCTGCATTCTTCAGTAATACTCTCCCTCAGTTCTGAAGAGCATAGACATAGGATCAGAAAATGTGGGCTGGGCGCAGTGGTTCACGCCTATAATCCCAGCACTTTGGGAGGCCGAGGTGGGTAGATCACTTGAGGTCAGGAGTTCAAGACTAGCCTGACCAACATGGTGAAATCCTGTCTCTACTAAAAATACAAAATTAGCTGAGCATGGTGGCAGGCACCTGTAATCCCAGCTACTTGGGAGGCTGAGGCAGGAGAATGGCTTGAACCTGGGAGGCAGAGGTTTCAGTGAGCCGACATTGTGCCATTTCACTCCAACCTGGGCAGTAAGAGTGAAACTCCATCAAAAAAAAAAAAAAAAACAAGAGAGAAAGAAAAGAAAGGAAAAAGAAAGGTCCTGGTGAAAAGACTGAAGTGATGAGCCCAGGGAACCAGGTAAGCTGAGGGAAAGAAAGGAGGCAAGGGCTGGACACGGTGGCTCATGCCTGTAATCCCAGCACTTTGGGAGGCCGAGGCAGGTGGATCACAAGGTCAGGAGATCAAAACCATCCTGGCTAACACGGTGAAACCCCATCTCTACTAAAAATACAAAAAATTAGCTGGGCATGGTGGCGGGCACCTGTAGTCCCACTTACTCGGGAGGCTGAGGCAGGAGAATGGCGTGAATCCGGGAGGCAGAGCTTGCAGTGAGCTGAGATCGTGCCACTGCACTCCAGCCTGGGTGACAGAGCAAGACTCCATCTCAAAAAAGAAAAAAAAGAAAAGAAAAAGAAAAAGAAAGGAGGCGAGAAGGAGACTCTTTGGACTGAGACACCAGGGGACAAAGTGCAGCCACCAACCAAAAATCTTGTTGGTTTGAAGAGCTCGTGCAGAGGGAATCAAGACATGGGTGACGTGGCAGGAGTATGGGTGGTGGTCATGTAGTGGGAGGACAGTTTTTCACGTGGGTTTCCTGGAGAGGAATCAGATGTTTCTGACCATTACTAGCTGTGTGCCAGCCTAGGAAGTTCATTCTTAAGTCTTTTAGAAGTGGAAGAAAACAGGAAAATTGCTTGCTAAATTATCCCATGAAAGTCAAAGTCTTTCTTCCTTAGAACTTTTGAAAGAAAATTATCACTAGGACATATGGGGCTTGATCTGGTCAACCATCTCATGTTTTTAAATTTTCATTTGGGATTTTTATCTACCTCTTCATAGCAGAGCAAAACAAACTTGTCTTTTATTCCCATAAATATAATTAAAAGAGACAGGCTGAGGAGACCTACCAATGGGTCACTCTAGCCCTTGCCAAATTATGGGATCAGGATATTAAGTATATCCCATTAACTGCTGTAACTGATGGCTCCAAAAGGGAGTATGGCATAAATTAGAAGTTCCCAAAAGTTTGCAGCTCCCCCTGGAGATGTTATAAAACAGAATCAGGGTTATTAGCACACATTCAAGCAAAGGCTTGTTTGAAGTGGGGCATTTTCTAACTTCTTACGGATAGACTAGGCCTCTCTTAAGAGTTTTATTAAATTTAATGTTCTGTGAAACTTCATCAAGGCCTTTAATATTATGTACATGCCCTTAATTATAAACACATATTTCTTCTCTATTGCAAGATTTCTCCTGAACTTTATAGATCTGCCAGTGAAAGAGGAAACTTGGATAACACGTGTGGAAATAACAAAAGTGGGGTATGAACCTAGATTAACCAGCACATAAAGAGCACTGTTCCCTGAAAAAAACTGTTGGATTCATTTAGGTAATCATCTCATGATGAATGTACTCTTGCTAGTACAACCTTCTTCTTACCATGGAGTTACAAATTAGGTCTGGAAAAGACATCTGGAAACATCTGGCCCCTTCTAAAGCAATAACATTTCAGTGTGTTTTTTGACATACTAGGCAGACTCTTCCAATAATTCTCGATCTTACACATTAAAAGCTCTCAAAAGAAGGTGCTAGTTTGATTTTTTTTAATGTTTTATTTCCCCCAAAATAGCAATCAAATAACTGGATATACAAATTTCCATCTTATAATCACTATCACACTGTATTCTAATTACTTGTTTAAACGTCTGTCTCCTCACCAGATTAGCCCCTTAGAGAACAAAACATGTATCCATCTCTGTAACCTCCTTATGAAACTACAGGTATGTGCTGGAACTGTATCCTCTAGAAACAAGAGTACCAATAGGTGAGTAGCTTTCTTTAAGAACATTTATTGCAGTATTGTTAAAATGGCAGCAAACTGGAACTAAACCAAATGTTTAGTTTGGGAATCAACTGGGGAAGAATTTTAAAAGTTATAGTAAATCTATAGAATATTATTTGACTTAAAAAAAAATGAGTTAGAGCTACATCAATTGACCTGGAGAGATGTCCATGATATATTGCTACATGAGAAAAGCAACTTATAAATGAAAGTATAGAGTGTTCTTCCAAATTACAAAAGTAAACAGTGATGCCTTGTGAAAAATACATGTGTTTATGGTTGTGGGAGAATATTCATAATGCACTAACAGGGGTTACCTTAAGGATGATCAGGAGTTAAGGTTAATGAGTGTGGGAGAATAGTGTTAGCAAAATGCAAAAATATTCATGCCATAATGCTAAGGGAAAATGCAGAATGCATGATTTTAGCAATAGTTTTTTTAAAAGAAAACTTTACCTTTTGGTGAATTACTGGTTGATGCCAGGCATAGTTCTTAAAGCTCTACACCGACTGTTTCACTTCCTGCCTGCACCAACTCGGTGAGGTAGGCATTATTATTCCCTTAATTTCACATAACAGAAAACTGTGGCCCAGAGAAGTTACTGAATTCTGTCAGTGGTTACACAATAATTGGCAAAGCTAAGACAAAATAATAACAAATAGGCAAAAAATGAAATTGCATTTTTTTCCTAGAAACTAATCAGATCATATGAAAAGTATCCATTTAATTAAGTAATAGATCTGCGGATTATTTTTTGTCTCAAATTTTTTTGCTATTATTTAATATTACTTCATTTAAGTAAAGTAAAATTATTAAAAATAAATTCAATAAAATGGCTGGTATGGTGGTTTTCAAAACCTATCCTCAAGTCTTTTGATGTGGGAGGTCTGTGTTTCTTCCCTTTGAATCAGGTGGAGCCTGCGACTAATGGCTCTGGGCAACCACATGGGAGAAGCAATATTTTGTGCCTTTGGATGCTGAGTCAAAAAAGGTAATACAGCTTCCTCCTGGCTTCCTTTTTGAGAAGCTTGATTTGGAGGATGCCAGCCACCATGAAGTGAGTCTCATACGGAGAGGAACTGAGGCCCCAGCCAACAGGCAGCATCTACTGTCAGACTTCAGATGGTGACAGCCTCTTCCTAGCCTTGGAATCTTCCAGCTGAGGCCCCAGAAATCACAGAGCAGAGACAAATTATGCCAACTACACTTCGTCTGAATCTTCAGTGAGCACAATAAATGTCTGAGTTTTTGTTTGTAGTTACTGTTTTGTTTATGTTTGGTTTTGTTTGTTTGTTTTGTTTTGTTTTGCTACTAAATTACATAGCAACAGATAGCTGGAAGAGATTCTGCAGTGATGCTCATCAGTTTGGGGTAGGTTTTCCCTTAGTTTTATTATTTTGCTCTCTTTAGGCATATTGTGGTGGTTAATTTTATGTATCAGTCTGGCTGGGCCACAGTGCCCAAATATTTAGCCAACTATTATTCTATATGTTTCTGTGAAGGTGTTTTTTTTTGTGGGGGGGGGGATGAGATTAATATTTAAATCAGCGGACTTTGAGTAAAGCAGATGACACTCCATGATGTAGATGAATCTTACCCATTCAGATGAAAATCTTAATAGAACAAAGACTGACCTCTCCAGCAAGAAGGAATACTGCCAGCAAATTGAACTGCAACTCTTGCCTAATCTTCCTGCCTGCCACCTACCCCATCAGGTTTTGGACTCACCAAGCCTCCAGATTCACATGAGCCAATTATGTCAAAATAAATCTTTGTTTGTTGTCATTGCTTTGTTTCGTGTTTTGGTTTGGTTTGGATGGGCTCCAAACCAAAAAAGTGATCACTCTTCTCCTGAGCCAATCCAGTTCAATTAAGTTCATATCCCATTGCTACCCCTCTAATTGTCTCACCTCATTCAGCACACAGAAGAGAAATCTCACTTCTGCTACGACAAGGCTGCCTAGATTTGGAACTATAAAATGGCATAACATAACCTCTCTCTTTACATACACACAAAAACACACACACTCTCTGAATAGCACACATATTACACACATTATACCTTTAAGTCTGCTTCCCAAACCACTCAACAGTTTCTCTGCATCCAAGCCTCATTGTAGTATCCAAATAAATCACTTCTGTTTAAGTTATAATATGTGTGATATATTTAAGAGGTCTAGAAAAGAGACTAAGAGTAGCATGGAGTCAATCTTCTAAACTTCTTTCTCTCTCTCCCTCCTTAGGACAAAAATCGGAAGCAATATGCAGCCATTTCCAACAAATGAGCAGCCAGTATATTAGATTGCAACACCAAGGAGAGAAAACTTTAGGAAGATAAAGACCTGGAAAGTAGATTAGCTGTGGCTTTCTCCTCGATGTGGCTTCATGGAGTTACATACGCCACTGAGAATTCCTGAGTGACAAAGTGATCAAATCCAAGCAAAGGAAAAAAGGAAAGGTGCAGCTTACCCCTCAAAGCAGTGAGCAACTGTCAGAACCCACTTCTTCGCAATGAGGACACAGCCACAGATATGTCCACTGGGTTCACTCTGCAGAGAACACTGCCATGGCCACCTTCCAGGGCGACTTGTCCGACCCCCAAGGATCCTTTTGTTCATTCGGGCAGCAGGGCGGCGCCCACAGTCTACCAAGGAGCAGAAGACACAGTTTGTGAGTTGATGCCAAACCTTGCTAAATGCTTAGCTCTTTGCTGTCACTTACAAGGGATCACTCTTCCCCTGAGCCAATCCAGTTAAGTTCATATCCCATTGCCACATCTCTAATTCTCTCACCTTGTTTAGTACATAGAAGAGAAATTTTACTTCTGCTCTGACAAGACTGCCTGGATTTGGAAACATAAAACGGTATAACATTAAGTTACGTATTTACTGTTCAATTCAAACACTTTACCAGTGAAAAACAAGACAGCTCCAACTGTTACCATCGGAGATCACATTCTCTGATAAATAATTCCTCTTGGTGCAGGAATTCTCAAGGCAAGAGTGTGGTCAAATATTAATCATGTTGTGGGCAGGAGTATATGGAATATATATATACTTCATTTTTTTAGTTTATTTAATATCATAATGTAATTTCACATTTGTGGGAAAAGAAATTATTTTAACAAAATTTCCCACATCATTTTGGCTGGTGGTACCACCACAATATCAATTCAAACTACAATTCTCAAGGGGAGATGGGGGTACTTTTTAGAATCAATGGTGAGGAGGCAGCATGTCAGCTTTTTATGCTTATACAAAGTGGCGTGTGCTCAAAACCAGTTGAGAAATAGTCCAAGACGAGTAAAATATGACTTCAGTAATTAAAGAACAGATAAAGGAATGGAATATTTAGACTGGAAAAGAGTCTTACGAAGATTCTCAAGGTTAAATTTCCTCTGTATGAGAAGTTGACAAGAGGAAAAGTAGCTTAAATTTATTTCATATAACTTTAGATGACATGATCAAAACTAGTAGGTGCAATTTACAAGAATTGTGGGTTCAGGAAAAGAATTTTATAAAATCTAAGTTCAACTTTGAATGCAAGAACATGGTCCCTGTTAAAGGATCTTTCAATGTGATGGCACAAGATAATTCAGTTTGGGGTAGAAATTTTAATCACTAAGTTGTCTTCCAACCATGAAACATTTACATTACAACCTCAATGTAAATGAAAAAGGACAATAAAAACCCATATTGGGACTTTCAAAAATACTATGATGTACTTAGAATCCTAGATATCTCAGATTTAAAACAAAACCCAACCCTAAATATATAATTTCCACATTCCTTTCTGAAGATTTACTGTATTTTCATTTCTTGCTAAATTTACATAGGGGTACGTGTAATTATTTGCATACAATATGTAATACAGGAAAAGCTCATTTGCTTCCTACCCTCCCACAGTCTAAAATCCTCTCTTCCTTACTCTCTATTGCATTATCCTAAATTTATTTGCAGCACTTACCAAAGTCCAAAATTATTTTTACTAATTTATAATCTTTGTCTTCACTCCATATAGTGTACATTCCCTGAGATAAGGGCCTTTGTTTACCCTCATTCACTTCTACAACCGCTCAAAGCCTAATGCTGAATTTGGTATTAAAGAGATACTTAATAATTAGTTGTTATTTGTTAGATTGAAAACACATAGCTCTTAGGAATAGGAAAGTCATCAAAGACTATTCATCCAACTTCTTACTGGAAATTGCAGTTATATAAGATAATACTTCTAGTTAGTAAACCAGGACTAGAACCAAGTTTACTAACTCCCAATCTAGAATGAGTGATTTATTTATTCATTTACCTGACCTGAAAGGTTTTTTCTGGAATTCCAAGTTTGGGGAAACAAATCACTTTGTTAAAAGGTTTAGGTCATTGTTTCAGAGGAAGTATTTCAGTTGACAAATATGCAGAAATCTGGCTGCAGTTTGATCTGTGAGGAAAATGTCAAGACATTTTAAGAGGAAATGGTCCATTTTTAGTTTTCCTCTTTAAAATTCTTAAGAGGTAGTAACATTTATGAGCTTCGGAGTCAGATAAACTTATTTAGAGTTCAGACACTATCACTTAGCATCTGTGGGCTGTGAGATTTGAGCAAGTTATTTAAATATTCTAAACTAAATAAAATATTAAAGCTGTAAAATATTGGATAATCATCCATGGTTCACAAATCTATTTGAGGTTTAAATGAGTCAGTGTATATAAGACTACCTAGCTGTGTGCCTATAATGCAATAAGAACTTAGTAAGTGTAAATTTCCTCAATTTGTCTTCCTCCTACACCTCACCCATAGACAAGTGAAGTAGCCCTGTTTAAGATGCAATGATTTTTTAGGGGAAACTTATGTGCACTTTCAAGGCAACTTGATTATAATTTTATTTTGTGTCTATTCCTCTCTTAGACATTCCAGGTTTTCTTAGTTATCATTGCTTCAATTCCCTTTTTTAACTAGTTCTATGTAGCATCTGTAGGAAATGCAGACATGAGGTTTTATTTTGAATAAGATATTAGAAGAAATCCAAGATTAGAACCCAAGTTCCTCTCTTCTCACCATGATAGTTTCTGTAATGATGAATAAAAGAGAAAAAAAATCTATGTCTGGAAAGAAGAAATACAAGCAACCAATGTTGAAATGTAAAGGCAATAGCAAATCTATGGAAACTCTTTACTGAAAAGACAAATTAGGATTATCTTAAGTTAAAAAATGGAAGAAAGGCCTGATGAAAATTCTTGTTCTGTAATCTGACTCTACACAGTTCTTATGAATGCGTTCTTACCCATTTACAAGAAGTTCATGTAAAGTGGTCCCATTGAGGCTCTCCCAGTTGGAGTGTAATGTCAGCCACCGCAGCTCTTTCTCCTGTTCCTGTATCAATTCGGTCACAGATGGTTCTCTGATACAAGGCAAATACTGGATAAGTATTCAAAGTACAATGATCTTTGAACAGGCATTATCATTATTTAGCACTCATTCTCTTTCAAAAAGAAGCATTAAATTATGTCAACATTTGAAGAGGAGAATTTCGACTGTTACAAATTGTTAGAGTTGTTTTAGTTATTCTCCCTGCTGACCTGTGTTTGCACTTCATGAGATGTTAGGATTATAATGTGTATGATATAAAAGTTCCAACAGGTAAAACATAAGAACAACTTTAGGCAGGGATCAAAGGTAAAATAAAATTTATGTAGCTGGGGTTTTTTTCCTCCTCTTTCCTTGTCCATTGTAATTCTGCAATATAGCAATATCATAAAATAAAATAACAACACATAAAGAGAATCAGTGGCCATTTAGCATCTGTTTAGGCAGTATAAAAGTTGTAAGAAATGTAATATTTCTATATTTCTAGGTTTTTTGGTGTTTTGTTTTGTTTTGTTTTTTTGAGACGGAGTCTTGCTCTGTTGCCCAGGCTGGAGTACAGTGGTGTGATCTCGGCTGATTGCAACCTCTGCCTCAGGGTTCAAGTGATTCTCCTGCCTCAGCCTCCCAAGTAGCTGGGACCACAGGCACATGCAATCACACCCAGCTAATTTTTATATCTTTAGTAGAGATGGGATTTCACCATGTTGTCCAGGGTGGTCTTTAAACTCCTGACCTCAAGTGGTCTGCACCCCTCAGCATCCCTAACTGCTAGGATTACAGGCATGAACCACAGCACCCTGCCTCACCTGATTATTATTTTTAAACTATTGTAATCACATAATAGAAAATGAACAAAAACTTCCCCAAACTCATACTTTTAAAAAGGCAAGGAAGAACTCTCTAAAGGGAACACTTGATTGACAGAATAAGAGCCAAAGATGAAAAACACAACGGTATTTCATAATGAATGAATTATAAACATTTGATTTTTAAAACAAATGTCATACCTCCTAGCCACAATGAAGAAGAGTGGCATAAGATATAAATTTATTTAGAAACTTCAATTGACTGTTAGATTATTGAAGATATTAAAAAACATCTTACAAAAATAAGAATTTTTATTTTTCTTGGCCAAAATGAATCTGGCTTTCCATCAGTTCCAGAAGTTCTGAATGTAGAGGCAAAGTGAGAAGGAAAGTATAAAAGTCAGAGGCCACATATACTGTGTTTGTGGTAACCTGCATCCTGATAACCTGCATCCTGAGAATTCCCTTCTGCAATAGAACTACCTATGGACCTCCCAAATCCAGGTAAAGCCAAAGGAAGATAAACTTTAGATTTTGTTACTTAATCAGGTCATTCTTAAATCAGGTATTCAGAGGGCAACAAGATACTTGCATGGGGAGTGCAATTGGGAGACAGCGTGCACTGATGCTAGATGGGAAAATCATTGCAAAGAACTCAAAGGCCCCCTAGCTCCCCTGAGGAAGGGCTCCACAGACATCCACAGGATGTTTTTGCATTTCATTCATTAGCTTCCAAGAAGAAAGGCAATTAAGCTGGAATTTCTCAGTTACAAGTAGAAAATTTAAGAAATTAATCATCAAGGATAGGAGAATGTCATTATGAAAATTAGGTTTTCATGAAATTCTTGAACACTGGCATGTTTCTCATGCACGAACATAAACTTTCAGCACTAGAAAGTCAGTGGGTCATCCTATACTCATTTTAAAAAGTCAGTGAATTTGCTTGGTTGTATTTCTGCCATCGTACAGAATCTAAGCATCTGCATAACTTCAATTTTCCTTTCTTTTTCACCCAGCTTTATTGAGGCATACTTGACAAATAAAAATTGTACACATTTAAGGGGTGTAATGTAATGTTTGATATATGTATACCTTGTGAAATGGTTACCATAATCAAGCTAAGTAGCATATCTATCACCACCTAGTTATTTGTGTGTGTGTGTGTGTGTGTGTGTGTGTGTGTGTGTGTGGTAAGAACACTAAGGCCAAGAATCTTAGCAAATTTCAAGTATACAATTTAGTATTGTTAAGTATAGTCACCATGTTGTACGTTAGATCTCCAGAACTTATTCATTCCACATTACTGCATCTTTGTACCCTTTGACCATCTCCCCATTTTCCCCATCCCCTAGTTTTTGGCAACTCACATTCTACTCTCTGCATTTACGAGTTGACTTTTTTAGATTCCACATATAAATGAGATCATGCCTTATTTGTCTTTCTATGCTTGGCGTATTTCACTTAACATGTCCTCCAGGTTTATCCATATTGTCTCAAATGGCAGAATTTCCTTCTTTTTTAAGAATACTGAATACTGTTCTATTGTGTAAAGAAAATGTGGTGTGCATCTATTGATTCATACACGGAGAAGGAAATTTTAGCAATGATCTAATGCAGCACCTAGAGCAAGAGTATAAATGGAGGCCCAAATGCCGTTTGTCTACATATTTAGATGTTATAAATCAAGTTATCAAGCTGTCAAAGAAAATTTCTCTCCTCCTCTCTTGACAAACATATCTGTTAGGTTCAAATACAGATCTCTTGGACTCCTGAGAACGGTGGGTTTCAAACATTAGCATTCATCAGAATCACCTGGAGGACCTGTTACAACACAGATTTTTGGCCTCATCCCCAGATTTTCTGATTCAGTTAAGTCTCAGATGGGACCCAAAATCTCTCGCTCTACCAAGATCACAGGTGATGATAATGATGCTGGTCTGAGACCACACTTTGAAAACATCATTCTAGAAAAGGGATGAGGCTCCATGTGAGCATAACTCCTTGGCTAACAGAGTCCTTAACCCATGGGATGAGCTAGAGGAGGAGGGTCGCAGGGTCCCTGTAAATCAGGGTTTCTCACCCTAGGTGCTATTGACAAGTTATACCAGCTAATTATCTGCTATGTGGGGCGATTCATGTGCACTGCGGGATGTTTTGTAACATCCCTAGCTTCTACCCACTAGCTGCTAGTAAGATCCCATCAACTCTGGATTTACAATTTAAAAAATAATGTCTATAGACATTCCAAATGTCCCCTAGGACAGGGGTCCCCAGCCCCAGGGCCCCTGGGGACCAGGCCACACAGCAGGAGGTGAGTGTGGGGCAAGCCAGCAAAGCTTAATGTGTTTACAGCTGCTCACAATCACGGGTATTACTGCCTGAGCTCCGCCTCCTGTCCCATTAGCGGCCTTAGAGTCTCACAGAAGTGTGACTCCTATTGTGAACTGCGCATGCGTGGGACCTAGGTTGCGTGGTTCTTACGGGAATCAAATCCCTGATGATCTACTATCACTGCCTCTCATCACCCTCAGATGGGACCATCTAGTTGTAGGAAAACAAGCTCAGGGCTCCCACTGATTCAACATTATGGTGAGTAGTATAATGATTTCATTATATAATGATTTCATTATAACGTAATAATAATAGAAATAAAGTACACAATAAATGTAATGTGCTTGAATCATGCCAAAACCATTCCCCTCATCGCACCCCAGTCCGTGGAAAAACTGTCTTCCACAAAACCAGTCCCTGGTGCCAAAAAAGTTGGGGACTGCTGCCCTAGGGGCAAAGTCACCCCTGGTTGAGAACCACTGCTCTAAATAATGGGGCCTGAAAGCAGTGCTATACAGAGAAGCAGAAGGATTTGCCTTATATTTACTTCTTGAGGAATTGTGTAGTCATAAGACACACATACAAATATATCATTTTTCTGACGCTGAAATGAGAAAACAGAGCTCATTAAGAGTTCTGGAACATCCTGACATTACGAAAGGGATTAAATATTTCAAGGCTTAGGAGAACAGCCAGATCCCTAGACAATTTGGCCAACTCTCCCATCCTCAAGTCACTTTGTTTTAGTAATAAATATCCCATGTTCGAATTATGATTACGTTGGGGCTGCTTACTTAAAAAACGAAGGTCATCACAAATTCCTCCAAAACCAGGGCTTTTCTCTTACCTCTAACAAGACAGACGTGCAGGAATTACCTACACATGTAACACATTTCAGTTGAAGGATAAGGTTTGTCTCTTGCATCTGTTGACGGGGGAAAATAATCTAAGCATCCAACCTGAGTCCTTGACAGTTCATCTTGACATATAAATGCCTTTCACAGTGGATAAGATAAATTATTCGCAATTCTAAATATCCTGTTGCAAACTTGAAACATTTACACTAAACATTTTGTATCTGATTTCAAAAATCTCTTCTTGAATCTTGTCATATTCTCCCTGTTTGGGTCCCATAGATTTGACATATTAATACTGAAAGTTAGTTATTGTGTCAAGTAGAAATTTTGACAGGCAGGCACTAATAGGTTTCAAACAAAACCTGAATGAACTCTGCTACAGAAACATTTCTCAGGCTGGATAGCTCAGTTCAGTGGGAGTTTATACAGCAAAACTCCCATCAGTAGAAATGCTTAAAGCAGAGCACAAGTTCCGAGCTTATTTTTCTAGTTAACTCAATATTTTAAAAACACTTTTTATTGCAATCCTAACTGACGATAGATAGATAGAACGATCGATCGATCGATCGATAAATAGATAGACAGATAGATTTTTCTTTTTTCTTTTTTTTTCTTTTTTTTTTTTTTTTGAGATGGAGTCTCACTCTGTCACCCAGGCTGGAGTGGAGCGGCTTGATCTCAGCTTACTGCAACCTCCACCTTCCAGGTTCAAGCAATTCTCCTGCCTCAGCCTCCCGGGTAGCTAGGGACTACAGGCTCATGCCACCACACCCGGCTAATTTTTGTACTTTTTGGTGGAGGTAGGGTTTCATTATGTTGCCCAGACTGGTCTCAAACTCCTGACCTCAAGTGATCTGCATGCCTTGGCCTCCCAGGGTGCTGGGATTACAAGTGTGAGCCACTGCGCCCATCCTATAATTGTATTCTCTTACTATGTGTTTGTCTATCTCAGAGATGGAGCGTAGTAACTGTATTAGGCAAGGATCTATAGGTACAAACGACAAAACTATCTCAAAGCAAAGAGGGGGAAGGTTAATGGA